TGGTTTTCTTGTGATCACAACATATGTTGTGATCACAAGAAAACCAGCATGTGTCGTTATTATGAAATAACGATGAGCATGGAAAAAATATTATCTGTCCGCTCTCGGCTTCCGTATGTAAAGCACTTTGTTTTACTACAATGTTAAAAGTTATGTTTTGTATTACAGCTTGTTTTGGTCCTCTCAGTAAACAGTATATTTGCTTAAAGAATAATTTTTCTTCTTTTTACATTTGCTGTGAAACTTTTGATATATTGTGTAATTTGTCACATCTAGATACTCGTCCCAGCATTTTTACATGGGTCATAAAATGTTTGTGTGCTAGTAAAAAAAAAAAGGTAATATTAAAAAAAACAGTAAAAAAAACTTAAGTGTGAATAATTGTAGCAAAGTCCTTTGACAAGTGSATGATTCGGACCAGGCTGGGTTACTGCAGAGTTCAGGCAGATACATTTTTCATCATGAGAAGCACAGACAGGACACAGTTCCTGTTTGGCAGTGACCGTAAAGGATAATTTATTTTGCAGGACTGCATTGTTTAGCTGTGGAAAAAGCCCTTTGGTCTAATTTTGTTCCCCATGTGCAGTACAAACTTTCTTTCAAGTTTTGATTAAGACTTCAGGGCTTCGACGATCTAAGCTGTCTAATATAGATACTATGATGTGTTTGTTCTAATAATACATAAAATGATTTGCCACATGTTAAGATGAGGTAATGTGGAGAAAGGCATTCAAAATTAAGAATTGAAAAAGTGAGTCCTTATTGCAGCTCTTTCTCCCTGTGATGCACCAATCTGCTAAAAACAGTTTACAATCAACAAAACATAAACCACTTTTTAGATGCTTGACAGCTGCTTAAAGCATTCAATACTAGCTATTGTCCTTGGAGGGATTAATTTATMTAGMCTGGAAATATTTGCAACTGGCCAAATTCTGTCTCTATCAGATCTGCAAAAACATGAAAACACAATCAGGAAGATGAGAGGATCTCTCCTTTCCCCTCAGAATGTTTAAAGGTGCCATTTTTGTCCGGTGACGCAAACACATTTCTGCTTACCTTTGAAGTGCACTAATCCATTTGGACTTTGAAGATACCCCAAAAAAATGTCTCTGCCTTGTCTTTTTTTTTCCCAGCAGGTTTTGATTAAAGAAACTGTTTACTGCTGCTTGTGTAACTTTTTACATTCCCACATGCTTCACAGATGTCCTCTGCTGAAGTGACTCCAAAGATTTCAGGCTTTTTGTGAGCATTTTACCTTTAATCAAACATGAAAAAAAAATGCATTTAGAAGAAGTAACAAATTTCACATCCAGCATTTAGAGTGATGGTCTGTTTCAGGAAGTCATGAAGGAAAATTGCTCAAATAAAGGGRCTATTTAAACAATTATACATGTTGCTTTTATACAACTGGCTGAACCAGAACACAGAGCTAATCCTCTCTTTTTCCACGAAGCTCTACATTTTGCCATTTTTCACACCCCTAATAGCTCCCCATACATCAAACAAAAACACATCAGGGAAGCCAAAGTCTCCCAAAGCCGAGTCCAGCGCCTCAGCAAAGTCRTCAGGGCTCTTCTTGTCTTTGCCCGCTTCCACAATGGTGGTCGCTGCAAAGAAAAGTCACATTTTTTATTTAATGTTGGAAATACTTGTTATATATTTCATGTTAATGTGTCTGAATTTTATTTTATATGTTTTAAATCTCAGCTTCTTGTACTAAATTTATTCAAAAAACTGATCACAATCAATACATTTTAAC